TTCAGACTGGCCTGTACATGTGCTTTCTTGAGCAGGAGGACCTTGCGGGCGCTGCAGGATTTCAGTCCTTCACTGCGTAGTGTGTTACCAACTGTTTTCTTGGTGATAATGGTCCCAGCTGCCTTGAGATCATTAATAAGATTTTCCTATGTAGTTCTGGTCTGATTCCTCACCATTCTCATGATCATTGAAACTCCACGAGGTGAGATCCACAAGGTGAGATCTTGCATGGAGCACCAGACCAAGGGAGACTGACAGTTATTTTTGTGTTTCTTCCATTTGCTAATAATTACACCAACTGTTGTCTCCTTGTCACCAAGCTGCTTGGCGATGGTCTTGTAGCTCATTCCAGCATTGTGTAGGTCTACAATCTTGTCTCTGACATCCTTGGACAGCTCTTTGGTCTTGGCCATGGTGAGAGTTTGGAATCTGATTAATTGCTTCTGTGGACAGGTGTCTTTTATACAGGTAACGAGCTGAGATTAGGAGCACTCCCTATAAGAGTATTTGATAAATGTATTTTTTTAGGATAATATATATATATATATATATATATATATATATATATATACATTCTGAAATCTGTAAGGTTTTGAAGCAGATTTTAATAGCTATAATATATGACCTCAATAATAACAATATTAAGAGTTTTCCCATTTATAGGAGCATTATATCAGGGCTGTTTGCAACTCGTCACAAAAATAAAACAGCTTAAAAAAATAAATCTTGCCTTGCTAGTCATTATACCTAGTAAACACTCCGAGTCCTTCGGCAGTGGCTGCACTTTCACCACTAATTGGAGCTCCGATTCAGTAGCAGGAGTCCCACTGCAGGGGATTTATTTCCTGGGTACCGTGCAGATTGTGAGAACAAAAAAACGCAAACAGTCAGCTGTGACAGAGACTCATTGCATCCATCTCATATTTTTAGAAACTGCCGAGTGGTTTTAGTACATATAGATAAAACCAGTGTTTAATAAATTAAATAAAAAAATGTAAATAGTTTTTATACATCGAATTTCATATGAATTATTTTGTATTACTTGTAATTGTATTAATAATTGTCATAATAATAGCATCATAAGTAACAGTTAATGCAGAAAAACCTTGGAAGTATAGGGGCAATGTGAATTAATATACTATATTTCCCATTCCTGAAGAAATGTATTTGTTAAAGGACACTATAGGCACCAAAACAACTTTAGCCTACTGAAGCAGGTTTAGTGTATAGGTTATGCCCTTGCAGTCTCACTGCTCAATTCAACAAGAGGAGTTACCTTGTTTTGTTTATACAGCCCTAATCACAACTCCCTACATGTGACTGCACAGCATACCCAAAACACTTCCTGTAAAGTAAGAGCTAATGTTTACACTTCCTTTATTGCAAATTCTCTTAATTTAGAATTTCTTATCTCCTGCTCTGTTAATAGTCTTCTAAAACCTGCAGGAGCATCCTTTGTGTTATTAAAGTTAAATTTACAGAGCAGCAGATGAAAAAAAATCTTCTAAAGTAAGTTATTATCTGACTGAACATGAAACCATTTTTTACATGCAGGCTGTATAAGTCACAGCCAAGGCAGGTGTAGCTAGGATGCATAAACAGAAACAAAAGTGATTTAACTCCTAAATGGCAGAGAATTGAGCAGAAGTGAGCAGTGACACTGCAGAGGCATGATCTATACATTCATATTTCCTCATTAGGCATTAGTGTCCCTTCAATTATTTTTATATTATATTATATTATAGTTCATGTTTCTTTTTAATCGGGATACAATCTAACTCATATTATACCTGAGATAGATTCTTTGTAATTCTATATGTCACAGTCAAGTCCCCTTTCTACATGCCAGTTGAGTTGTATTTAGCTCCGCCCATTAACCCACCTTGTGGCCTGCATTCTGAGTGACACATTGCATTATTACCAGGAGATCAACCCCACTTCTACTAGGTGAAATTTTTTCATTTTTCTAACTAATCATGTGTAGATCCCATTGCCAATAAAACTTTTTTTTGATTGATTTTGGTGTATTCTCCAGGCTTTTCCTCTTAGGCCTTCATAAATCCATTTTCCAAAAAAAATAAAAAAATAATTTATACCTTAGGCATTCATACTCATAGATATTAAAGGACCACTATAGTGCCAGGAAAACATACTCGTCTTCCTGGCACTATAGTGCCCTGAGGGTGCCCCCTCCCGCCGGCTGGATGGCGAGGTAAGGGTTAAAACTTACCTTTTTTCCAGCGCCGGGCGGGGAGCTCTCCTCCTCCTCTCCTCCTCTTCGGCTGAATGCGCATGCACGGCAGGAGCTGCACGCGCATTCAGCCAGTCTCATAGGAAAGCATTCACAATGCTTTCCTATGGACACTGGCGTCTTCTCACTGTGATTTTGACAGTGAGAAGCACGCAAACGCCTCTATCCGCTGTCAATGAGACAGCCACTAGAGGCTTTAGAGGCTGGATTAACCCATTTATAAACATAGCAGTTTCTCTGAAACTGCTATGTTTATAAAAAATAGTGTTAATCCTAGAGGGACCTGGCACCCAGACCACTTCATTAAGCTGAAGTGGTCTGGGTGCCTAGAGTGGTCCTTTAAGTTATATTTCTCACCTGCTAGAAATGACTAAAATGTTTTTGTTTTTTTAAATTGAATGGGGATCTGAGGAACAGGTGAAGAAAGGAAGGCAAAGCTGTATAGACCTAAAAATAAAAAAATCTATTTATAACCTGGACATTTCTATTTTATGTGATATAACTATTAAAAACACATTAAATTAATAAAAAATAAAAAAATACAAAACAAAACCAGAGAACAACTGAAAAAATTATACATGGTTAAAATGACCGTACTCAAAACAGTCAAAACTAAACCTGTAAACACTTTAATGTTACTGTTTACTAATATTTATAAAGCCATAGGCTTCAATCGCTAATCACTAAATTCCAGAAAGCTGACATTCTACTAAAACAGCTTATACCAGGAAAGCTGAGGTTGGGGAAAAAAAAATCCTCAACTAATCTAACTAAGCTCTGTCTTTATATTAAGAGATACAACGATTTACAAGAGAAAATCAATAGCTGGTTATTTAGTAAGTGTGTATAAATGAGGCATTTTCCTGGTTTAATGGCACTGCATGATTGATTATGCAAGTTCCTTGGTCTCTGATTCCACATACACAAAATACCATCTTATAATGATACATTTTGTCCTGCAAAAACTACACTAATTGGCTCCATTCCTAGCAGTTTGTTAGTTTCCTGCACACACTCGCTCACCACTTATCTTTGAAATCCTAATTCTGTTGTTTTTTTTTTACTGTCCTGACCTCCACCTGTAGAACAGAGAATTCTGAAAAACACAGAGATAAGATTTCTTACAAGAATGAACAAAAAAAAAAACAAGACGGAATAAAGGTCAGGACGCGTAATATATTTTGGTTAAACCTGATAAACGAGGCAACGTAATGCATACACAGAATAATTTTTGAACTGGAAAAAATCTTGATTTACGGTTGTTATAGAATTGAATTTTAGAGAATCACCGAAGCAAATTGAATTCTGAGAGCCTAATATGGCCAATTATTATCGCGGAAGCCAAGTAGCGCTCAATGAAGCGTAAATAGGATTGTGTTCACAGAGATTCTGCAAAGGATCAAATATCATACTAATGCTCACATACAGAGCCATGCTGAGAGCGCTGTTGAAGTGCTTGCCACATTATCCTAGTGTCGTCGATGTGCCTGCACTGTGTTGCTGAGGGCAGATCCCTGGTGTCCCTGGATGTGAGACACCAGGAAACTAAATTGGGACAACAAGACAAAATCCCCAAATAGGGACTGTCCTGCCAAAACCGGGATAGCTTTGAGTCCCGTTGTGCTGTTTCTTGGTAGGTAGTGCAATCTAAGTAGGTAGGGGATGTCAACAGAGGATGGATGTCACCCACTTTAACACCCCCAGATCCTCTGAGATGGCGATGCTGGAACTAGGGCTAAATATAATCCTGAGCAGATAAATATATGATTTATCACAAAGTTAAATGGTATATTTAGTGCCTTGGGTAGTAATATCTGTTAAAGTAAACCTGTCATGACAGATTCACTTTAATGTTAAAATTAAGTTGCCAAGCTAACATCATGTACTTTATTTGGTTTCCTGAAAAAAATCACCGGCTTATTTCAAGATTGCTACATACATGCATTTGTGTAATTTCAGCTTTTTCCTGAAAATTAGGGCTTAGAGTGACAAACAGTAAAATATTTAGTCAGTTTCTATGTATCTATAGTACTTTCTTGTAAGGACTTGCTATTGTAGAAGTTGTGGAGTAACACTAAAAATATTTTTACTGTATGTGCCAATCACAATACAGAGCCGTATAACCCCTAGCTTTTAGTAATAATAGAATAAGTAAACCTCCTTACAACTGTAGAGATGGACTGTGTTCTGTTAACGAGTAGAGAGAGATCATGTGGTCAGTGTTCTATTAGTTAAATCCCACTCTAACATCCTCCACCTTGCGATGGGAACTAAGAAATTGATGTATTCTCTGCAAGCCTAAGATACATTATTCTTTGGCTTGAGCTTATCATCTTCACTCTTGAGAGATATAGCTCCAGCGAGAGCACAGAAGTGCCTGTGTCAGACCTCACTCTTGTTATTAGTGTATGTCATTCCGTTGCTTTTTGGAAAGTGACATGATGTTAGCAGAAAAGATGAATCCCAGCTGCTGGTATGTCATTTATTACAAGTTCATGTTTTAAAAAGAAATGACTATAATATATTTGTTGGAGTGCAGGAGTTAGTTATAATATATTTGTTGGAGTGCAGGAGTTAGTTATATATATAAAGTCCAGCCACTGGTAGTATAAAAGATAGATATATATTTCTAAATAAAACACAGGTATATTTAGTAATAACTTCCTATGTATATAGCGAACGGAAAATGTCGATCGAGCGAAATGTCGATCGGGGCAAATGTACATTTATTTGGTGAATGAATAAACAATGTGTTTCAAAGACCTCCAAGTGCCCTCTATTTTTCCTGATTTTATATATATATAAAATCAGGAAAAATCTGGAAAAATAGAGGGCACTTGGAGGTCTTTGAAACACATTGAAACACATTGTTTGTCTGCTACCTTCTGGGTGGTCGACCTCTGTGACCGGTGTTTCTTCCCCTTCTGGCCTCTCCAGGGTGATGAAAGCTCCTTAGAGGAGCTGAAACGTTGATTGAAGTTTTTGGAATAAAATAAGATTTATTTGGAAAACCTTGGAGTGCCGGTATTTCTCTGTATATATCTCCTAGCGACCAGAGCAATAGGTACCATACTACTTTTTGTTGGAGTGCAGGAGTTAGTTATATATAGAAAGTCCAGCCACTGGTAGTATAAAAGATAGATATATATTTCTAAATAAAACACAGGTATATTTAGTAATAACTTCATATGTATATAGCGAACGGAAAATGTCGATCGAGCGAAATGTCGATCGGGGCAAATGTACATTTATTTGGTGCTTTCATCACCCTGGAGAAGCTAGAAGGGGAAGAAGCACCGGTCACAGAGATCGACCACCCAGAAGGTAGCAGACAACCCAATTATTAATCTTTCACACAGAATGTTAACCACCATGAAATTACTGTATTGTCTAAAGGCTTATCATTTGTACCAACAACGGGTGCTGACCATTTTGAATGGGAGGTTGATCAGTTTAAATTCAATCGTAAACTAAAATTAGCTGAATTTTTTAAAGTACCAACACCCACAGAAAAACATAATGAATTTTTTAGATTAAAAAGTACATTTGACCCACCTGCTACTAACGCATCACTGAAGGTATTTGTAAACAATATTCGAAATGATACTAAAGAGTTTACTTATTACAAAGAACCTACTAAGAATGCCAATATTTCCAAGAGTGAAAGAGAGGCTCTGAATAATCTCGCGAGTGATCTATCAATTGTTGTCCGTCCTGCGGACAAAGGGGGAGCTATTGTCATCATGCAGTATGAGGACTATAAATCAGAAATCTTGAAGCAACTAACAGATCCCAAGGTGTATCGACATCTGGATAAAGATCCTGTGCACAGGAGGAATTTGATTTCCTATTTGAAATACATCCAAGATATCCCATACTATACACTCTCCCAATTCATAAAAATCCTGTACAACCTCTTGGTCGTCCCATTGTGTCGGCCATAGGAGGGTTATTAGAACCCATTGGCAAATGGTTGGCTAATATATTCAAAAAAACAGTGATGAAGTTACCAACATGTGTTAAAGACACCTCAGCAGTGATTAAGGAACTGCAACGCATTGAAGTACCACAGGAAGGCATCCTCCTAGCCACCATTGATGTCAGTAGCTTATATACTATAATCCCTCAGAATGATGGTATGCAAGCAATGAGGGAAGTATTGTTACAATACAGTGAAAAAGACTCTCCGCCCATTGAATATATTATGGAGTTATTACAATTGTGTCTAACTCTCAATTACTTTCGTTTTGAATCCGCCTACTATGTTCAATTAACAGGTACATCGATGGGAGCGCCTATGGCTCCGATGTATGCCAATGCATACATGTTCTCATTTTAAATGAAACATATTTTGGCCCAACACCATGAGAAGATTCTTAAATACTTACGTTTTATCGACGATATCCTAATATTATGGAGGGGTGATGAGGAATCATTTACGTCTATGATGTATACATTAAATATGATGAACTCTCCAGTGAAATTCACATTCCAATGCAGCAAGTTTCAAATTGATTTTTTTGGATCTTCAAATCTTTGTTAAAGATAACAAACTCAGATATACACTGTATTCTAAGGAGATTGATAGAAATACTATTTTGCATGTGTCCAGTTTCCACCTGAAGAGATTGAAGGAATCATTACCCATTTCCCAATTTTTGAGGGTAATACGTAATAATTCAGACCCTACACTAGCAACAGACCAATTAAATCTAATGTATGAGAAATTCTTAGAAAGGGGTTATTCAAAAATGGTGTTAAATCGTGCACTGGAGCAGGCAAAAAAATCAACTACAGAGCAACTGATACCATCAAGAGTCAACAATCGTTTGACCTTTCCTCAATCTTTTCATACTAAATCATCTCAAGTAGCTTCTGCGGTGCGTGAGAATTGGAGAATATTAAGCAAAGATACAACATTACCAATTTCATTTTCACAAAGCCCAATTATGAGTTATAGAAGAGGCAAAAATTTAAGGAACCTTTTAGTTCATACGGATCAGTTTACTAAAATCGTACAGAAAGCGGATAATACTAACCTTGGTTGCTACAGATGTCTCAAAAGCACTGCGTGCAATTCTATTGCGAGAGTTCAAAAGAGTTCTCACACCCAAGAACTGGAAAAAAATACAAAATTAGATACAGAATTACTTGTATAACAACTCATGTGGTATATCAGATCGTGTGCCCATGTGGCTTAGTCTATGTGGGAAAAACTTCAAATGATTTGAGAGAGAGGATGAGGGGACATCGGTCTGCTATACGTTCGGCTATTCAGAATAATACAGCAAATACCCCTGTGGCAAGGCATTTTTTGGAGGCTGGACATACACTTCCCTCCCTTAGATTCATGGGCATTGATCATGTCCCTGCCCTTTTCAGAGGAGGTGACAGAGATACATGTTTATTACAGAGGGAATCTTATTGGATCTACACCCTAGACACTATGTCCCCCCATGGACTCAATGAAAAAAATCCATTATATTGCTTTCTACCTAAAAGATAAATATTTTTATCATTACTATAATATATAGTTAAGTACAATACATCAGTGGTAAAAATTTCTTTAACATATTTTGTATATATCCGTTATATTTTCAAGGAGCTTGTATATCTAGTTCAATATAGATTATGATTTAGTTATTTTCGGCTTTATGTTGAGTAATCTTAGCTGATTTCTAATTAGATTATAACAACTTTAACCATGTATGGTTCCATTAATTATGAATTGAATATGGTGAACTCTGTGTATCAATGAATTGACTATGTAATTATCAAGACAGGATTAAGTATTGTCTACTTGCAGTAGCTAAAAGTAGTTACATTTCAGTTTAATGAGGGCTACAATTAAGCTAGCCACTGATATTATAACTTAAAGACAATAAGCCATTACATTGAGTCTAATGTGCATCAACTGCCTGGCGTGGGAGTCCTTAGTGATGGGAGTGACACTCCCTGGTTATTTGGGATTATTTAGCCATTTGGCACTTTAATTACTAGCGAAAAATTGTATATAACTCCCTTTATTCCTGAGTAATTTAGCATACATGCTGGTGCCATGGTATTATCCCTATAACTATTTCTATACTATGTATATAGATGTATTTATGTTATTAAATACTATTATGTGTTGTTTGTATTTTTAATTATTTTCTATTTATCAACATACCAATTATCCTGATTACGTTATTTGCAAACAGACACGTCAATTATGACCTCACTCCACTTTGTTTTCACCTTCCAATGAACATGTGATCACTGCATATTTAAAGGCTGTTTTTTTCACTGTTTAATTGTCTTGATAAAAGTCCAGATGGGACTGAAGCGTTGACACTTTCTACTTGAAATTTTTGCTGCAATAAAGAAGCATTTCAAGTCCTGTGAGTGCTTTCCTACAAGGTATTATATATATATATATATAAAGTCCAGCCATTGGTAATATAACAAGAATAGTTGCGCGACATCCGAAAGTCAAGAACCAAGAGTTAGATTCCATTGAGTGAGCATTCAAAATGGCTACCCGAGTAGAGCAAAGAATCTGCATCAAATTTTGCTTTAAGCTTGAACATTCCTCCGCGGAAACTATTTGGATAATTCAGAAGGCTTTCGGAGACAACACAATGAGTGCAGTACAAATAAAAGTGTGACACAAACGCTTGGCCAAGAATCGGTTGGTTGAAAGATTTGGTTCCCTGCAACTTCTGGCTTTTTCCCAAAACTAAAATCGCCTTTGAAAGGAAAGAGATTTCAGACAGGGTCGATGAGATGCAGATAAATACGAGGATGCAGCTGATGGCGATTCCAGCAAAGGATTTTGCAGAGTGTTTTGAACAGTGGAAGGGACACTGGGAGAACTGTGTGAGGTCCCAAGGTGCCTACTTTGAAAGGGACTGAGGTGTTATTGTCCTATGTACAATGTTTCTTGTATCTTCTTCAACAAATGTCTCAATTTTTCATATTACATGGCTGGTAACTTTGCAGACAGACCTTCCGTGTGTGTATGTGTATATATATATATATATATATATATATATATATATGTGAACACATATATTTAATAATAACTTTATTCATCACATTTACACAGCCAAGTGTAGTGAATTTAAATTGTAAATATTAGTCTAAAATAGTATAGCTGAATTGAAGAAATGGTTCAGCTAGTTTGACCTAAAGTTTGCAATTTTATTTCCATCTCCCTGTTTAGTGGATGCCTATTATTGTTAAAATGGTGTATTACCACTGTAATTGCTGAGAATGCCTATGAAAATGCTTGTTTCTGGAAATATTGCTTGTAGTGTTACGTATGTTGACGGAGGTTACTTGTCAGTTTGCATGTGTGGGAGGTAGGCTGTTGTGAGTTGTGTTTTTATGGTGCTGCATGTGTGTGCATGTGAATAAGGGCTTTATGTATATAGGGTGTTTGTATGTTTGGGAGGTAGACTTTGTTTGTGGGATATAGTGACTGTAAAGTTTGTTGGTGGGAGTTGCTGTAGTTTGTGTTTGGCAAAAATTCAACTGGGCTGTAGTGTGTGCTGTGGAAAGCGAGGCTGTAATGTGTGTGTAGACAAACAGTGATTGTAGTATGTGTGTGGGGGAATTAGGTTTGTAGTGGGTGGAGAATTGAGGCTGTTGATATGTGTATGGAAATTGGGGATATAGCATATGTGTGTAGGGGGGCAGGTAAGAACTTTACAGTTAGAAATACTAATCTTAGATGGTCCTGTGGGTGCATCATCTGGTCTGCACCATAAGTGTGTGCAGACTATTGTATTGCTCCTTGTGGTGGGGAATTGCCATGGAACTCCATGGCAATGCTTGTGGTGCAGGTCACAAGCCTGCCTCACCCACCAGGAATGAA